TGTACTACAAAGTCGCCAGTTCTCAGCTTCCAGCTCCACAGATTGCTTCGCGTACTAAAGTTGTACTACAAAGTCGCCAGTTCTCATCTTCCAGCTTCCCAGATACTCCGCGTACTGAAGTTGTACTACAAAGTCGCCACTTCTCATCTTCCAGCTCCCCAGATACTCCGCGTACTGAAGTTGTACTACAAAGTCGCCAGTTCTCATCTTCCAGCTCCCCAGATACTCCGCGTACTAAAGTTGTACTACAAAGTCGCCAGTTCTCAGCTTCCAGCTCCACAGATTACTCCGCGCACTAAAGTTGCACTACAAAGTCGCCAGTTCTCATCTTCCAGCTCCCCAGAGACTCCGCGTGCTCAAGTTGTACTGCAAAGTCGCCAGTTCTCAGCTTCCAGCTCACAGATTGCTCCGCGTACTGAAGTAGCACTATAGAAAGTCGCCAGTGCCTGCATTTCGCGCACTCAACACGCACGATCTCCGCAGAGGGTTGCGCGCACACCGGACAAATCGCACTCTCACCTGCATTTCGCGTGCATTTCGCGCACTCGACACGCACGATCTCCGCAGAGGGTTGCACTTTCGGTTGACGCTGTTCGTCCCGCCCTCGGCCTTTAAGAGAGAATTTATAAAGTGGGAAAATGTTTTTTCATTGGGACATCTCCCGTGCTAGTTTTCCATACTCACACTTGCCTACTCATTGCATGCTTGCATAGTCATTGCATGCTTGCATACTCACGCTTGCATATCATGCTTGCATACTTACACTCGCATACTTTGACACTGGCATACTTCGCACTTCCGAAGCCGGGAGACGGAAGTGGTACCCCGGGGCGCCGATGGGTTCGAACCACTCAAATACTGCCAAGAACTGGGACTGCGCATCCAGAACTGCTGGCGCATCCGTCACTGCTGTGTGGGCGTTCCACGTCGCACGAGCAATCTTGGACGTGCGCCTTTGCTTCAACTAGAACAACTAGAAGGTTCAAATCTGTCCAACCTAATTAGTCAAACTAAGAGTCATTTTTCTCTTCTTTTTTTTCTTGTCTCTCTCTCTCTCTCTCTCTCTTTCTCTCTCTCTCTCCCTCTCTCTGTCTTTCTTTTCTAGCGTCTTCCCAATGCCCACTTGAACGAAATATTTGCCAGCCTTTTCAGTGAGCCTTGAAGTTTCAGTGGCACCATTTTTTTCCACAATTTTTCCTGAAAGCATTGCGAAGGGTTCTTCCGGAAAATCCTTTGAACACTGACACTTCCACACTCACACTTCGACACTCACACTCACACACACACACACGGGAAGAGCGAAAGCATCCTGCAAGAGTTTGTCTGGACACATGTGTGGGTTGCAGCCTGCAACCGGACGCGGCCACCAGACATTGTCAGGCCTCGTCCTCCAGCACCCCCATTCAGCGACTGTCTTCTCACCAGTCTTAAGGATTGATTCATTCAGCTAGGCCACAGAACGTCAGGAAAAAGACTCTGGAAGGAGAGGAATTACCGACTAGTTTCCTTTTTCCAGTCAGCGGAGCCGAAGCCAACAAAGAACATGAAGGAATGATTTACAGATTTGATCCCCTTTGGTTTCGGCATGTTCGCTTGGCATGCTTGATCCGCAGCTGCCGTTTCATGCTTGTGAGCGCTTGAGCTGTGGTAAAAGAGTTTCTAGGCAGGAGAGCTTCCACGACGGTCGCAACCCCCCTAGATTCCGCAAATATAACCACCCTCCAATCATGCAAAAAGTGTTCAGGTGCTTTTGCGGCACCCTAAACACTTTCTGCGAATTTGCCCAGTCTGTAAGAGTGTAGAGCACTTCTTCCTGCCAAAAACCCCTGTTTTTGGAAAACTCCACAGCCTTGCGTTCACGCGCTTGAAATTTTAGTTATGCTGGCTGGAGGGCTGTTCTGGCTAAAGGGATGGCTGTCTCAAGGTCAACCGCTTCTGGTGATTGTTCAAATCACGAAGATCTGCTCGCTTTTCAAGGATTCGCCAGACCGGTACGCCCTTGGCATCTGTGAATTCTGCCACCACAGTCCTCAAAGGGAATTGCTGGATGGCAAAGTGCTGTGCTGCGTGCACACCGATGTTGTCGGTGAAATGCCACCCGGGAAGATTCTCTGAACTCCCCCGTGAAAGTTTGACACACAAACTCCTGACGGAAAATCAAAAGCTCTCGTGCTCAAAACACCTAGTCAGTCAAGTGTCTCAACGACCCGAGTCGAAAACGAAAGAAAAAGCAGGCAAAAGACACGCACACTTTTCGCCGCACACTTGAGCCAAAGTGACGAACGTTCTCCAAGGTTCACAAATGTTCTCGGGACATTTGTGGACATGCAAAACCATACTCAAAACAGTTCTACGCTTCACAAAGGTTCTAAAAACAGTTGGAAACAACTAAGAGCATAGTCTAAACATCTTCGGGTGTTCTCGGACACCTCATACACAAACTACAAACATATGGAAACGTTGAAAGGGATCTTTCAATGTCCTCAAAAGCTAACGAACGTCATTCAAACAAGCCAAAACTCTCCATGGCTTTCTTTGCGGTCTCTAAACAAGTGGTATGGAGTCTTCGCTCCTCAGTACTATAAATTCTCACAC